GATAGATAGATAGATAGATAGATAGATAGATAGATAGATAGATATTTGTAGATTTTTATTTAAACTACACTCTTCACCTTTACACTATTTCATCAAATATGTGTTTATTTGGTTGAAGTGCTTTTAAATGATCACTTTTTAATGCATCATTTTGTGTGTAAAGCAATTATTTTACACACAAAATGGGCTATGCAAATAAATGTGGCAGTTATGTCTGACGTATCTTTGGGCGAAAATGATACAAAGCCTGAAATGAAAACAATGGAAATTGTTCCATTGTTTCCAAAGCTCGGCTTTCCAGTAAAAAATGTTTGGTTTTCTGCAAGAATTGCATCTTGTGTATCGGAGGTCATACGTGTGTTTAGTCAGTCTGGGGATTGGAAACCGTCTGTTGGGTGGGAATGAAACGGATTTGAGTTGGGTTCCATCTGCCTTTTTTAATCCAGGTCTTGGAGAACGATATTTAAATTTGTCCTTGCGCTTGTTTTTTCTTTCATGAGCTCATTTTTTCTGCTTCTGCCTTCTAATTTAAAAAGCACCCCCAAAACCCTTCATGAGTGTTATGTTCTCTGTTTTAAATTGGGTCATTAGGTTCATGTCCTGTGTTTTAGGTTTAGTTAATTAGCTTTTGTGCTCCTGTTCTTTGATTTGGTGTCTGTCTTATGTGTCTCCACCGGTTTTATTCATGTCCCTCTGTTTCCTTTAATTTCCCTCATCTGGTCAACTGGACCTATAATTTATCACCAGTTCTTCATTCTATTTATTTACTCTACCGGCTATAAGCCTCCTTTGTCATTTCCTTCCTTCCTAGGTCCTTGTGTCAATCCTTTGTCCTTCTCACGTCTAGATTTCGGTATCATTTTTTCCCTCCCTGTCTCCGGTATTTCTCAGTTTTTGGCCTTTTGGTTTCGTTTGGTCAAGTTTAGTTGAATCTCGATATCTGACTCTGCCACTCTTTTTGTTGTAGTTTTAATCACCCACAAATTCCCCAAAACCTGTTCTAAGCCACGTATTACGTATGATAAATTTGAAACTTAAAGCTAATCATAAACAAGAGGGATCATTTTTCAGTATTGAACCAATACCAGTTCCCTGATCACTTTCGCTGGTTACTTTTATGACCTTTTCTGCGTCTAACTATGACAATATGGAGGTTACACAACTCCCGTTTTGTACTAAGTTCACGTTCTATCGTCATTGAGTGAGAAAACCCTGAAAGTCCCTTTTTTTCGAGCTTTTTTTCGTAACAAAGGGGATACGACCGAGGACAAAGTAGGCCGCGGCGCTCAGGGAGAGGCCGATGAGGAAGATGGTGCCCAGACCCAGGTCTCCCATCGCACACAGGTTTGGACAAGCACAGGGGCTGTCCACCCAGATCTGCAGGGGCCGGTCAGCCAGCAGGCTCTGGTCCCGGATGCTGGACACCGGCTGATCTGGACTGCAGTGGTAGTGTACGATGGTCTCCGGCTGGTCACTGTGAGCTGGGACAGGAGAAGGAAAGGACAACACTGCCCGGTCGTTATGAAGATCTCACATGGTATGTTTCAGTTTGGCCCTAACTCACCAAAGTAGGACACAGACAGCACCTGCAGGGTGTGGTTGTAATGGAATACGTTCCCTTCGTGTTTTCCGTAGCTGATATAGCGGCTGATGTATCCACCGAGCCCTTGAGACCTGCTCAGACCAAGCAAATATTACATCACAATTGTTAGAATTTGGCTATTATTACTCACTTTAGCATAGTATGCTATAACATGATCTAGGTTAATTACTGATTGTCGTATTCCTTTTGGAACTATATGTTTGCGTTAAAGTCTCTGGCTGTGCCCACAGACTCTCCTTTTCTCTCTTTTTCTTTAATTTGTTACCACATTCCAATGTGGTTCATTTGCATGAATTAGGACCTGGCCTGTTTATGCTCAGAGGTATGTAACCAATAGGACTTGGTTGTGTCCAGTCCTCCTTTGAGGAGGCGGATCGAGTCCAGGAGATATTGCCCATCACACCCAGATCTCAGGGCTCTTTACCCACTGAGACCCAGAGAAAGAGGTGACCTCATAAATGTAATTTTTTTGTACTTTTGATCTACTCTGGTTCATTCTCAGGTTTCCAACTAAAGAATCGGGCTAACACAGTAGAACCTCTACTTACAATTGGCTAAACACACGAATTTTTCAACATACAAAGTGAAATCCGATCCAATATTCGACTCAACTCACAAAGTAAATTTCCAACATATGACGTCGAAGTGATAGAAAAATAGATATAAAACATGAAAATTAAATAAAAATAGATAAGCTAAGTTAGTTTAAATTTCACGTAGTGAAAGTTAGAGTAAGTTACGGTACATCCTATATCTCACTCTCCTTCTCTACCTCCTACACCTCCATTCGCCAGTCTCTAAGGTGCCAATAAAAACCCCTTTTCATTGATTATTTCTTTATCATTTATTTATTTTTACATCTCTCTTATATAATGCATTTGATTTACTGCTATGTGTAATTATCTGCAATATTTATTAAGGAGTTATCACCGTTTTTTGGGCTGTGGAACGAATTATACGAATTACGATATATTCTGATGGGAATATTTCAACCAACATACAAATATTTTAACATACAAAGTCGGTCCCCGAACAAAGTAAATTCATATGTAGAGGTTCTACTGCACTTGTTTTTGGGAACAGCAGATTAACCAGTTTTTTAATGCATTTCAATGACGAGGCACCAGGTGACATCAGGGATGTGTCATCCAAAGGTTTGGTTTGCTTTTGATACTTTGAGCCGAAGAACTTCACAAACTGAACTTGTTTTACAATTGCTTTTCTTCTTTTATCACAATAGGACACAAAATGAGACATAAACCCGAGAACTAAACACTTCTACTAATGCACAACACAATCAATACCGATCACAAATATGAGTGAAGTGAACTTGTTGTGAAACGAAGAGGCTATCTAAAGCACTTCAGATATTTCACACTAGCTGCGTACTTCAAGATGTTATGAGAGCCCACCGAACACAGACTAAGTCCATCCAGAGACAAATAACACACACACACACACACACATTCTCTCCTAGGGACAATTTGGAATGTGTCCAATTAACCTAAAACGCATGTTTTAGGACAGTGGGAGGAAGCCGGGGGAACCAGGAAGGGGGGCCCACACAGATAAGAGGACAACATGCAAACTCCAACCTAAAAAAAGCAAGGGATTTAAACTAGCAACCCTCTTGCTGTGAGGCCACAATGTGAGGCCACAATACAAAGCATGGTGCTCCTGACTAAGTTCACTTGTAAACAACAAGCAAAACCAGACAACCCTCATAGATCATATCAAATTTTGAAGATTGATTGGGTTACATTTTCTAATAAATCCTGGAAATATATCCGAATGGCATAAAGGTCAAAGGTCAATACGTGGAGATAAAGTTGAGTTCTCTCTAGTACCTGACAACGAGGCACACGGCGACGTTGGTGCAGTCGCTGCCTCTGAAGTCCTCGGGCTGGGAGAAGTGCTGGCAGGGGCTGAAGGAGAGCAGATTCTCCGCCCCCACGGGCCTCAGGTGCCCCAGGAAGCCGTCCACGTCCCCCATGGCCTTCAGGTTGACCACCCCGCTGCCGTCCTTCATGATGCATTTACAGTCGTTGACTTTGAAGCAGCCGGGCTCCTCGGAGGAGAAGGGACGTGGGGCGCGGCCCCCGTGGAGCACGCTCAGAGAGGCGAACAGGGCCAGGGAGGCCCGGAGGCTCATGGTGACCGGGTCTAACGGCTGGACGGCCGGAGGGGAGTTAAAGGCCGGAGGACGGGCAGCTGGCAGCTCGATGAGAGCGGGAGAAGTAATTAGAATAAAGGTGGCGGTCATTCCGGGCATTCCTGAGGGCCACTGGGACACGGTCAGCCTTCCATCCCAACAGGCCATGGCTACTGAGCCAGGATGTGAGTCCAGGATATTTGCAAAGCTATTAACAAATCAAGCAAATGACCACTGTGCTGTGGAAGATAAACTTCTCCAGAGGGTCTTGAGAAGATGTCACCTGAAAAATGATAAATCTAAGAGCTGACTGGAGCCATGACATCATAGAATCAATTGGAAAAAGAAACCCTTAAATGTAGATTTCTGGTGCATTTTGGAGCCACTTACGTAGATAATTGAATATTTTATCTAAAAAAAAAGTCTTGAATGATGATAGAAATGCCCTCATCAATAATAATTTCAGTCATGTTTCACTTTTTATTTTTTGCGGTAATTACCCATTGTTCTACAGAAAACACCTTATGGATAAATATATGAGCCAATTAGTTTTCAAACAGGGGTTTCCACTCTCACAGATGAGCATTTCATACATTTCCATAATGTGATTTTTTTTAATTTTATATACAATATCTCATTTTGTTCTGCTTTTACTACCGGTGGTTTATTCACCAACCACTCTGCTAATAGATGTACAGGCTGTTGAACAGTGTAAAGGTTTGCTGCCATCCACTGGAGTCCAGACAGAATTCGGACAAGTCATTATTTACTGATGGACAGCTTTGTGGGATACAGAAACAGACCTTATTGACAGTGGCTTGACCTTTGAATCCAACTGTACCATGATGATTAAATATAGGCTTTTATAAATTTTATAGAGCAAGTCAGTAGAAATGACTAAGTTTAGATCAGTAGCTATCAAATAAAACTGGTTTTAGATTTATTGGCGGTGGAAAGATACCAAAAGGGAAAAAAGTACATGACAAACTGTCTTTTGTACAGATTTTAATTTGTCACCAGAAAAAGCCTTTAAGCTTTGACAGCAAATTTGCGCATGGAGTAGAGCAGGTCTTTCCTCTGCTGCTTCTTGGTGCGCAGGCTCTCTTCGTGTTTGTTGAGCTGGCGGCGCATTGCTCTGGTCTTCCTGGGCCTCAGGTCCAGGGGCTTGTACTTCTTGCCCTGGAAGACGCAAATTAAGTTTCAGCCAAAAGAAAAGACACTCCGGAATAAAAACCGCAAACCAAAACAGAGAAAAGCACAGACTGTAGCTGCACTAAAACTTAAAACTGTGTTTGAGGATGGTAAGCGACACTTTTCTCATGTCAAATGACGCATGTTCCTTTTTTTTCTTCAACTTTATCCCACCAATTTTCTTCAAACAACCTGATAATCAACATTACTGGGAGGTTAAACAGCACCGTCACCCACCATGTTTGCATGACTGCAAATCGCCGGTTAAACAAACACGGGGGATTCCATATACAGCCAATTTAACCCGCATTATCCCCAAAAATATTACCTATTCACGTACATGCATCCGTCTGAGCCTTCATATTTTCAAATTTCTTCAGGTAAAATGTTTAGAAATAAAACAATAAAAAAAAAAAACATTTCTGGTGACAGAAGGCTGAAATCTTATAGCAGTAAAACTGGTACTACTGGCGGCGTGCACAGAGGTTCTCTCGAGTCTCAGTCTTTTGGTAAGCAGTTGTGAATGCATCAGCAATACATCAGCTCAACGTGTATCATCTCAGACCAGAGAACCAAAGAGCAGGAAAACGTCGGCGCTTGGAGGGGAGATTTGGTTCCGAGACTCGGGGAGAGGCGGGCTGCTCACCTTGTAAAACTTCCTTAGGTTCTCCTTCTGTGTCTGGTTGATCACAGTCAGAACTCTGGCAATGGATTTGCGAACAACACGGCTGAGGAGATGAGTTTAAAAGAAAAGTTTCACTTATTTTGCTGTGGTACTTCATGATCTCATTCATTTTTTAATAGTCAGAACATCTAACATGGAGTGTGTGCTTATTCTCAAGAGCTTTACACTCTGACGTTTTTTTAAATTCAACAATATCAAATTATCACCATTTAAGGGTAGCAGTGCAGGGGGTTGCGGAACCCATACCTGCCACATCTAAAAGTTATCAAAAAAGTAAATAAAAAAAATACAAACCCTACTTACATCTTGGAGAGTTTGGAAGCAGCTCCACCGGTCACTTTGGCCACACGGAGCTGGGACAGTTCATTTTTCAGGTCATCCAGCTGTTTGAGCAGCTCTTCCTTCTTCTTGCCCCGCAGATCTCTTGCCTTGATCTTGGCCTGGCGGAATAATCGACAAAATACAATTCCTACATCATTTTAGAAGCAACGCTACTACATCCGACTCTCGCGCAATTTCGCAGAGGAATTGCTTTCTATGAGCTAACCACGCTAACGCAACTTGTTTGTTAAAATACAAACATAGGAGGTCTTCTAAACACTAGACCATTTCACAAAAGACAACTAGCTTGTCCAAAGTGTCTTTACTTTGAACATTAGTTAAACACGTTTTTAGGGGCACTCACAATGTGAATCTCTGGCTAGCACGTTTCCATTTAGCTTACGGTTAGCATCTTGGCTATGCTGCATCGCTCCGTATTAGCGCTCCGCAATTTAACATTTTATCCAATTCCCGCAGCAGCCAACTTTACAACAATTGCAAATATCCGCGACCAAGACACTTAGGCAGACATGTGAAACGAAATACGCGAGTTAAATAGTCCGTTAAGGGTGAAATATGCATGTTAGTTGAGGAGCGGCTGCTTCTTACCATGTTCCTGCTCGCTGCCCCGTTGGAAAGGCCGGACGCACCGCGTGCTCACAAAAAGGAGCTTCCGGAGAGCGTTCGTTGGTGGAAGTAGATTTCGCACGGACATGCGCAATCAGCGCCCCCATGAGGATGGAGGTGGGAAAACAGAAAAACGCACACAAGCCACTTTCCATCCGTTTTTTTTTTTTATTCTCTTGAATTATATTTCAAGAGAGGTGAGGGTACCAATATATGATTTTCCATGTCTTTTAGTAGTTTTATAGAAGTCATGGATTGTGTAGTTTTACCATTAAAAACAAAAACTCAGATCATAGTGTGAAAAATACGTTAAATATGCAACATGATTAAATATTAATTCATTCATGAACAGACTGCTGGACATTATGGACGATCGGTCGCTATTCCACCTCATCCTTCTCACCATCTTGCATCCTACATACTATAAATACCTCTCTGTTTTTTTTCTTCTTCAATTTTCTGATTACCAGAATGCTAAACTGTGCAATAGATAATTATCTATATGCAGGTGCTCATCTGTGTGCAATATTTCAGCCTATAATCACAGTGCAACAACCACTGGATCTAATTTAACATCATGGGCCATTTTAGCTTCTGTATTTTGTTAGTTTCTTTTTTACTATTTTTTCTTTTTCTTTTATATTTAGATAAGTTAAGGTTAGTTTAAGAGTGTGTGTTATATTTTGTATCACATTTTGTAATTCGTTACTGGATTTTGTGATTGAGCCTCATCTAGTTTTTGCCCTCTGTGTGCTGCTTCTGTCTTCTGTTGGGCTTCTCGCACTTGAATTTCCCTGAAAGACTCATACCAAGGGATAAATCAAGTCCGGAACTATTAGGTATAAAGAAAAAAAGTAACTGACAAACAAAGCAAGAATGCCTTCAGCCAGATGGCATGATTTTGTGACTGGGTTTATTGTAATAAATGAATGAAACCACTACAGCAATCAACAACTCATTAAAAAAAAATCGTACTGATTGTACAGTAGTGTCAAATGATTAAAGACGTCTAATCACCGAGTTAAAAAGTGCTTCAACTGTTTCTTTGATTGCCAAAGATAACCCACAGCTCTTTGGACCGAGCTCAACTACATCAGACTGCTACCTGTCGCATTCCCATCTCTTCTAAATCCCGTGTATAAATAAAGCTTAAAAAGGACAGAAAAAGAAATGTGTTGTGAAGGGATGTTAGGGGGATGACGTCACACGCTCTGGACTCGGGGTTATGATAAGGCAGTGGGACTGAGTGATGCGGAGGCAGGAGGACGCGTCCTGCAAACTGACCGCCTCCAACTATTTACATCCGATGATTTAGAAATTTTTTCTCAATGCATACAGTATGTACATATTTCTATATATAAATAGACATTGTGGAATGTAATTTCGTTTGCATTCGCAAAGGCAAGTAAAGGTCGGCCCCGTCATTATACACACCGCATTCGCTTATTTCATCATTTACAGTAGTTATTATTAGTCACACCGTTTCTCAGTGAGGTGAGAGAGGCATTAAGGGCAGGGCAAAACTGGACGGTAAACTCGTTGTAATAACAGTCCAATGACATAGTTTGTAACTTTCAAGTTAGTTGTTTCTTTAGGCCATTCTGTTTTTAGCTCTTTATACACAAATGGATGTCATGTGACCACTAAATACTTCACATCGATTGGGGGATAAACGATCTAAATCTTTTCCAAATTTCTTTGAATGCGATTGAACACATCATTCGTAAAAACCCAGCAAAAATTCTAAGTGATCGAGAAAGGAAGGGGGAAAAAAAGTCACAACAGATTTCAAGCTGTCTTAAATGGACAGGTCTTTACATAAACACCGTTGGGGTCCACTGACCCCTGATGTCAATCGTTCCACAGCATTTGACAGGTACTGTCAGAGTTTATGATACTGAACCCCAGAAGGCTTCGGCATCCTGTGCAGATCATTACGACGATTCGTTTGCATAAAAGAAGCCCTCTGCGGTTTAAAATCGGAGCCCAACCATGGAAGAGGACGACCGGGTCCTTTGGTCACCCAAAGGCCAAAAAGAGCCCCTCTGTCCGGCGAAAACGCACACAGGAAGTCACGTGAACACGTGTACCGACAGAAAGAGGGCGGATATGCCACGTTTCCTAAACGAACAGTAAGGCAGCCTGATATTTCAGTACAAAGTTTCCTATTCTGACTCCGGTTTTCCGCTTTCACTGAGAATACAACATCAGGTTTGTGCTGGAAGTAAAACGAGACACCCGCCCCACAGCTAATGAAAGAAAAAAAAAAGAAAAAAGAAGGAAATTAAGTCATGGTTAAGCCTTGTAGTCCTTTAAAAATGTTGTGATGCCCCTTTTCTGTCTCCCGCATAGCATGAAACACAGACTCTTCCCATAGATAACCAGAAAAAAACAAAAAACAGTGACTGTTAAAGCTGCTTAGTGATTGGGGCCACAGAGGAAAGGGCTCCTCCTCCGGAACGCGTCCCTTCATTTCTTTTCTCCCGGTCACCACAGCGGTGTGTGTGTGTGTGTGTGTGTGTGCTGCTCATCAGCTCCAGTGAGTCGGAGCGCCTGAGATGGAAGGGCGGATGATCCCTTTTGGTGAAGGTTTGGATCCAAACCAGGACATCTGGAACACAGGGGCTCGGATTAAAACCCAGCAAATCCAGTTGAGAGCAAATGTAAAACTCTGTTTGAAACCGGTGGCTTTTCTAAAAACGTGTACTAATGAAGAAGAACACAGCCTTTCCATACAGTTATTAGATAAATCATAATCTCAAAACAGAATGTGCTCTTGCAAATATATAAAACCCAAATTTTTATGTTTAGGCAATCGTAAGTTGAGGTTCTACTGTGTTTAGTTTTGCTGATGCGACATAGAACCGCAGTGAAAAGGCAAAGGGTGCTTTCTCTTGCTGCTCTTATCTTTACGTACCTATAATATGTACCTTACCTGTGGGAGAGAGAGAGAGAGAATGTATGTGTGTGTGTGTGTGTGATGAACGCTGATGAGATACAAAACAACTGCTAGCCAATTGAATAAGCTGCCCTTGTAGGTTTACACATTTGTAAATCTGACTCTAAAGGAGTCAGTGCCTCACCACGTCCACGTCCAATAAAAAACAATATAAAGACACTAAAAACATGCCTCTTATACAGGGGGCACAAAATGAGGCAGGCTCGACTTAAAGCGAGATTCAAACTGGACAGTGGAAGCTGTATAGAGGACTTAAGATGCTCAGAGTTAAAACAAAAAAAACCCCAAAACACCCACCTTGTACTCCAGAGTTTGCTTTAGCATGTCTTCTTCTTCCCGGGTGAAGTTCAGAAGCACGGATACGGCTCGGATCAGCTGGTAGGCCTGGCAACCACCACACACGGGGAGCACACGGTCAGTCGGCGTGCCACAAATCCCCCCCCCCACCCCCACATCCCCCCGACACCCACCTCAGCGTCCCTGGACGACATGAACTTGAGAACCACGTGCTTGAGGTACTCGAAGTTGATCTCCCGCGAGTCGTTGAGGTCCGAGGTGTTGGTCACCGTGGTTCTGGAGGTGGGGGGGCTCAGGGCCGACGCCGGCGGGGGGTCCGGACAGACCCGCTCCAGTCTCTCTGCTCGACTCTCGGACGGCCTCTCCTTGCCATCGACTTCCGAGTCGGCCTTAAATTTCTGAAAAAACGCACGCATTTATCCGAATGAATGAATGAAATCCGATCAACAGAAATCCAGAAATAAATCAAATTTTTTTCCCCTTTTGGAAACGTTTTGGTACAGTTCCAGATCTACCAGTTCTTTCTGTAGAGTCCTTTTGAACTCAGCCAGTCTCTGCTGGAGTTGCTTGATGGTCTGGAATACAGCACGTATGCGTCCATTAGATTTAAGTCCTCAGTAAACCTCTTGTAGAAAGACATGCTTGCCGCATATTGGAAAGAACTCGAAGGCTCTCTGACCCTGTTTTTGTCGCTGAGCTGCTGCTCCAGATCCCTGTTGACTTTCTGCAGCTGGTCCAGGTCGTCCACGGTCACACTGCCGTTTTGGTCCTCCTCACACACCTCGGGGCCGCGCAACTGCTCCGTCAGCGTCTCCACCTCCACCTCCAGGTACGAGATCTGCGCGATTAAAACCGATTAAAATAGGTTTGTATTAAAAAACACAAGACAAAGCAAGTAATGACAAAAAATATTAACCTAATACAATCGGGTTACCTTTTTACTTCCTTTACATTATTGATATTGATATTTAAATGGATATTTCATAAGAAGAGTGGTTACCCACCCCCCAAATTATCGGGAGAACTTTGTTGGAAAAACATTATACGTTTCTTTATCACACTCAAACAGAGAAGCAAATAGAAATCTACCCCCCAACCCTTTTGGGGGAAATGTGGGGAGACGTGCACATGTTTTTTGGCTTTGCCCTGGTTTGGTTACATTTTGGGATGATGTGCAATGTACATGGAAATGTCTGAGGAAATGTTTTGTGTAAATCGGACAGATACCCGTTTAAAATCCTGATGTCTCTCAGTAAAAAAACAATTACCAAAAAACGGTGCAAATAAGAACTGTCCAGGGTTTATCCTGCCTCTCGCCCGTTGACCACTGGGATAGGCTCCAGTTCCCCCCGCGACCCCATGAGGGAATAAGCGGTATTGCTAATGGATGGATGGATGGACGGTGCAAATAAGACCCCCTGACAAAGATGACTGGCTGAAAATTGTAAATTGTTGAGGACATACATGTCATGGAACTTGACCCAAAGAATAAAGATGGACTCCTCTTTGGAAAAATGGACAAAGTGGATTATTTACACTGCAATGACTAATTGAACATATGGGACATTGTTTCCCAGCTTTAGTCATATCTTAATCCGGACAGTATATAGTTTTGTTTATGTTGTGTGTGTGTGTGTGTATGTTTGTTTTTGTTTTTTCCTCTCCTTTTTTCCTTTTTTCACACCTTGTAATTGTCAACAAAGAAAAATAGAGTTAAAAAAAAAAAAAAAACCTTATTTATATTTGTTTTTTTTTGTCTCTGTGCACAGTTTTCCAGCCCAACCCCTGAGAGAGCTGCCCCCCCCCCCTCCTCACTGACCCGCGCCTGGCAGCTGTCCAGCTGCTGCGTCTGGCCCAGCAGCTCCTCCCTCAGGCCGGTCAGCTGGGCGTCTCGGTCGGCCTCGGTCAGCTGCAGCTGCGCCCGCAGCCGCTCGGCCTCCTCCTGCAGCCGCGCCAGCGCGTCCTGCCGACTCTGCACCTCTGACGCACAAACACACACACGCTCTCCAGTCAGCGGTTCTGGGTTTCAAACAGCAAAGCAGCAAAGCTAACGCACTCTTTTGGACTTGTTCAGCTTACACATTGTCATTTAGATAGATTTAAACTCGTTTAGTAAGTTTTTTAACTCTTATTTATTTCTTAAATGTTCTTTTATTTGTAATAATTTCTAAAAAAAATAAATAAATTTGATATGTTCATCTTATAAGTTATAAGATTCATAATCAAGAAAATTCTAAATCAAATGAAAACTCACTATCTAAAGAGCAACAGGAGAGTGCTATTCTTAGTGTGTGTGTGTGTGTGCGTGTGTGTGTGTGTGAGCACCATTCTGGAGTGTTTTGATGTCCTCCTCTCTCGTTGTGAGCTTCTCAGTGACAGCCACCAGCTCCTGCTGTAAGTTCTGCAGTGACAGCATGGCTTCTCCGACCTGACACACACACACACACACACACCTTACAGAGAATCCACCACGACGGCCCAACGGAGGGCCGCTGAGTCTTACTCGTCTTCCGGCCCTTTCACTGCTAACGCACACACACCTGTGTCTGCAGCTCCTCCTTCTGCCGTCTGCTGTCCTCCAGGGCTTTGGCGATTTCCGTGCTGACCGTCTGCCGGCAGCTCAGCTCTGCCTGCGCAGGAACACGCCGAGAAAAAGGGTGAGGGCACTGAATGAGATCTGTTCATCCGCAAACATATTCCAGAAATTGCCTAAAAGCATGCCTGGGGGTTTTAAGAAACATATTGTTGTTGTTTCTAAAATCTTACGTTTAAGATTTTAAATTTCATTGATCACAATGCTGTGGAACAATGATTTTTAAATCATTAAATGTAATTAAATTACAGTTAATGGTGATTAAAACCAATAAATGTGACCCTCTACCAACCATGGAGCGGGCACTCTGTTCATACTTAAGGAGTGTTACTAAAGTGTTACTTAATCTGTATTTTTTGTATTTCTTTTGCTTAATTTAATTTAATTTAACTTAATACTTTTTTGCCCTGTAAGCTGCTGGTAACCTTAATTTCCTGAGGCAGTCTTCCCAAGGGATCAATAAAGCACTGTCTCTAAGTCTAAGTTTAAGTCCAAGTCTACTTTAACTCCATCAAAGTTTACTGAAACTGAAAAACACTGATAGAGATCCTGTGCCGTCTGCCACTGTACGATTTAAACATCATAATACAGTAGAACCGTACCACTAAAAGTGCAATTTCGACAGAAAATGAGGGAGAGAAAGAAGGTGAAGCAAAAGGAGAAAAAGAATTAGGCAGCTGTATTTGTGCGTCTGTAAAAACATCTGAAACTGTTCAAAGAGGAGGAGAGCGATTATGAGGAGCTGAGGCATGTGAACAGCAAATGTTTTCAGCATGTGTTGTCTGCAACGTTTGCGAGAATTAAAATATGCGCACATAGTAATTTTAGCCTAATTTCTAGCCAATTTTCACAAAGAGCTTGATTTATTTATTTTTTACCTTGCATTCCTCCAACTCTTCTGTCCTCTGCTTCAGAATGGAGTTCACGTCCAGAAGCTGCTTATCCAGATGAGACTGCCAGACAGAAACCCCCCACACAAATCATTGCACCAAGAGCAAATGTTTTCAGAAATTCAGGTCACACATGTATAACTATATAACTGATGATTCCATTTGAACACCCTAATCCTAAGGGTTGTATCCCCCGCTGAAAAAAAAAATGATAGCATCAGAATCGAATGGCCATAATGAAAACACAAGGCTGTTTGGAGGAGAATCAAGTTTTCAAATCTCCGGGCGAGACAGTGTAATGGTTGACCACCCCTTTAGATTCCCGGCACTTGTGGTATTACATCTGTTTACAGATGCCACCCCCAGATGGGATGTGGCATTCATTTTTCCCTCCGTCTCAATCTGAACTTTGACATTTGGACAGCAAGCAAAGGACGAGACATTTTTCCAAGCGCAAATGACCAAAAAGCTTAAGAATGGTATGAACTTACCACCCGGTCTGTGAGCGTCTGCTTGTCTGTCTGCAAAGAGCTGACGCCGTCCTCCAGTCGGCTGATCTTCTCCTGACTCTGCTGCTCGGACAAACGCACCTGCTGATCCAGGAAGGCTCGTTCTGCATCCCTCTCTCCTTGCTGGACGAAGGAAACACACATGCGTGTTTAAAGAGCCCAAAAAAACCCACTCAAACATGGTTTTGTCTCAAAAGGCACTCGTACAAAGTCAGATTTTTAAAAGAAATAATGTTGTGTCACAATTTACTGTTGTCTAGTAACACGGGCGTGCTGTCAGGGTTGTCGCTAGGACATGAATCTTTGCATGATGACATAAATATAAACAAACTGTCTCTTATCACATTAACATCATACAAGAACAAACGTGTATCAATTCGCTAGATTACAAAGAAAAAGTGGCCATTTTGTGGAAATTCAGAAAAAATCAAGGTACAATATAAATCATGTCTCCTTTTTTAGTCTTTCCAACCAAGCAACACACACAGATGTTCCCGAATCAACACAGAAACAGAGAGATCATTCTGAGGTGCATCTATGCAACAACATGCTAAAATATGGCTTTATTTCCCTTTTTTTTGGTTGATTGTCCTGTTTTCATCCAGGTTTTACAACATCTTTTCATAACGAATAAGAACTGATTGGCAGAGAACCCCAAGCCACAAATTTCCCACATTAAGAACACATTTACTCTGCCGGCTTCGAACCGTCCAGACTATTTCTTATATAAATCAAATAATTGACAACTTTTACCAGTTTCTCCATTTGCTGCTGTTTCTCTGTGATCTGCTGCTCCGCTTCATTCAGCTTCCCACTCATTTCTTGAACTTGATGCTCCAACTCAGCAATCTGAAACACAAAAATTATTAAATGATTGATGAAAGGACTTTTAATGAACAACATTAAAAGTGGTGGAACAAGAATACATCTTGGTATGTGTCCCATTTTCTTATAATTAAGTAATCTATGCTGTGAGCTTTATTGACGCTGGTTGACTCATTGTGGTATATTCCTGTCATATATAAATGCTATCTTATCAAACTAAGAGGACCAGTTTCTTCATCTAATTGTTTCTTCCAACAAAGCAAAAATAAAACGATTAATTCATCAGTTATAGTAATCTTCCTTTTATTTCATAATTAGGAAATGCCAACCAAAGCATGCATTCCTGCATGAAACTACAAACTCCAGGACGACATTTATTTATCTATTTATTATTTTTCTTTCTTTCTTTTTTTACAGTTTAACAAGAAACTGCTAGAATCGGCCAATCAGCTTGGCCTTCCTCCAAGGCTGTGATTGGTTGGTGTCGTGGCTCAAATATGCCATTCTTCCAAGTCGAGCACAGAAATAAAATTGGGAGGAAATCATATCGTCTTACTCTAATGAGAGGAATAAACACAAAGAGGAATTATATGTGATTTAAATTAGGAGTTTAAGTTGTTTTCTATTAGAAATGCAAATAAAACTGCTACTGTGCCGCAGTGAGTATGTGCTTGTGGAAAATCCCCATATCAGTGCTGCTTGATTGATTATTTCTTTGAGTGTATTTGGTGTCAAAGAGCTTACCTGTGTGTCTGTTCTCTCTTTGTAGGCCCTTGAGGACTCATCCTTATGTCGAAGAAGCGTTTGCAGTTCAGTAATAGTGCAACTCGTTCTGGATACCTGGGGTAGGACACATATTGCGTCATCAACTTTAAAATGCATCTCACAACATATTTCTTTTTTCTTTTCTTTTTCTTTTAGTGCAAGGTAAGATCATTTGCTGTAGAAACAGAAAAAAAAAAAGAGGAACTGAAAAAAATCAAGCAGGCAGAACTAAAGGGACACTTGATTTGTTCCTCTAAACTGAGGTTTTTGAAGTTTCCGAACCATTTCACGGGAACAGCAACAAAAGATTGCTGCAAATTTGTTAGTGGACACCTACAGAGCTATAAAAAGGAATCTGATTCCGTCTTAGGAAGTCTTTTGGGAATTGTATATCAGGATTCAGGGGTCGGGAGTAAAGGCCCTGCCATACCTGTGCCTCCAGAGAGCTGACGGTATCAGCGTGATTTGTCCTGACTGCCAGCAGCTCTGCTCGGGTCTCCTCCAGACTCCGGTCCAGGTTGGACTTCTGAAAAGGCAAACATAGTTATTTCTGTTATTTCGACGTATTTACGTGACAAAAACGACCACTTGGAACAAAATTTGACAATTTCAAGTCTGTAAAACTGAGCCTGTTTCATCCAGCCTTTTCTAAAGGAACCCGTTTGCCTCCTAGCTCTGGTCTTATTCCTTAAATATAAACGGAATCCACCTCCTGCAGCAGCTCCTGCAGATGCTCATCCTCGCTCAGGTTCCCTTTCAGCCGCCTTTCCAGAGAGGCCACTTTCTTCTGAAGTTCCCCCAGCATGCGTTCCTTGTCCTCCTCTGCTACAGCGGCCTGAGGACCCACAGAAAACAGCCTCCTTAGATTATTCCACAACTTTTATTTCTTTTAAGTCGTTATTGGTGCGGCTTCTCGTGCTCCAACCTTTTGTTGTTGCAACCTCAGAGAGTCGTGTTCAGCCTGTAAATCATGGAGGGACTGCTCTAATGTGGACGCTATGTCCTGAGACTGGAAAAAACAAAAAAGGCAGAGTCAAATAATGGTCGCCGAAGAGCGAGAGCCGGTAAAAAAAAAAAAAAAGATTAAAAAAAGAGTCTGAAATCAGGCCTTGCCTTCTGGAAGTCCTCAGAAACCTGTTGGATGACCGACTCCAGCTCTTTACACCTTCCTTCCAGCTCGCTGGTCTTTGTTTCTGCTTCCTCTCTCAGCAGCAGCAGCTCTTCTCTGCACATTCAATACAAATTTATCATTTTTAAGTGTTCCGACTCATTAGCTACAGTCCACTAACAAAGACAAAAGCACGCGGGAGGCACGTGGTCACCTTTAACCCTTTAAAGCCCGATCCAAGAATAAAACCATACAGAAAATTACTTTTTTTTTTTAAATCTTTATTTGGCCTTTTAACAAAATATGTAAAAACAAAAAATAAAAATATTTTTTATATTAATAATTTATTACTATGCGATAAGTCAAGATTATTTTTTGTGTAGTCTTCTGTCCCCTGTTATCAGGTGTATCTGATTGTGTACAATAAGATTTTGAGCAAAGTTTTTACCATCAAATAATACAAAAGGTGTCAGACGCAAAACATTTCAGAAACTGTATGTATCAAATATGATACATTTGGCATTACAGGGTTGAGACGCAGAGTTTGGGAATGAGTCGCTATGGCCCCGACGCCATGTTTAAACGTCTTACCGCTCGGTTTCGAACTCGGAGTTGAGTCTGCAGCTCTCGTCGTGCTGCTGCTGGAGGGCCCGGAGTTTCCCCCAGGCCTCGGACAGCCCCCGTTTGGCCGACTGGGCCTCGCTGTCCTTCTGCTGGAGCTCCCGCTCTCTCTGGCCGAGCAGCTCCTCCTTTCTCAGCAACTGTCGGACATTCATAAAGCGTAGAAAAAAAAATAAATTTGAACGATTTCAAAAACATTTCTGGTAACCAAAAGATTCAGAGGGGAAAAACTCAGGTGTATTTCTAATTAAAAAAAAAAAAAGGCTTCTCCACAACCTCCGTCTTGGCTTATTTTCTAATTCTCTGTTTAATCTAAAGCTAATAGAGATGCTGTTGGCAAACTCCACATGTACGCACCATGTGTTTAACTTTAGCGAGCTCTTGCTGCTGAAAACCCTCCAGCTCATCCAGGTCATCTCTTTTCTGGAAGAGGGTTAAACTCTGTTCCATCATCTCCTCAAGCCGGGCTGACAGGGCAGCCTTTTCCTAAACAAACAACAGTTGTTTATTACCACTGTTTTATGCGCACCGGCCATTTAACTCCTTTTGGGTCCCAGAGTGGACCCGTTCAAAGGGTTTCCTGTGGAGTTCTGGTGGAAAGCAGCTCATCTTAGAGATGAGGAGGGGAATGCCGTTGAGAAAACGTGGAAAAGAAACAAAGCTTGATTTAGGAGTTAAAGAGACCGATCCTCTCATAATGGATTTCACGCAGTGCATTAGCCGAAGCTGGAAAAGCGAATGCAGAGAGCTTTCAATGACTCCACAGGGAACCTTTGGGCATGCTTTAACATCTCTTCACTCATTCAGTCCTGACTACACACTGAATAACCAGAGAACAGAAGCGACCATGTCTGAATGCTGACTTTACTTATTAACAGCCTGCACAGAGGAGTTAGGGCATTATGGCCCCACGTGAAAAAAAAACATGTTTAAAAGAAGCTCAGACTGTTTGGCTTTGTTGTTTGATGCAGCATCATAGAGCAGAAAAAGGGGAGCAAAAGGGGCATCTTGTGGTAAGATACATATAAGAACATCATTTTGTGTTTGTGTGGTGGCACAACATGGTTTTACGCCCTTTGCCTCCATTTTTTTGTGTCTGAATCGATTTAGAGAAGAACTATTGCAATAAACAGATCCGCCCAAAGGGAAATCCCACAACAGCTGTGCTAGCAGAGGTGCTAAAATAAATGTTAATCCAGTCTATCAAATCCTTCCGCTAAAACTGAAAGTATGATATTTGATGTTTTTCACTTCCCCATTCGGTTTATAGAAATTATTAATAGGTGGTTGCTGGAATGCAGAAAAACCAATCACATGTCCACCGGTCAAACTAAAGAATTCAAAAGAACCTCAAAACATGGTGAAATATGAAAGCACCCCATTACGGCTCCTGGTTTTAAATACTTGCCTTCTCAACGTCAGTCATCTTCTCCATCCATTCCTGAAAGAAAAGGAAGGAAGAATTTAATTCCCCCGACAAAAAGCTCTGCCTGTATAGCAGGTGAGGTTAGGGGGCAGTTACCTGATCCTTTTTTTCTAGAGCTAAAGCCATCCCCTCGGCCATTTTGGCTCTGCTGGCCTGATGAGACTCACTCTGTTCTTGAAGTTTCTTTATGGATGCTGAGCATTAAAAAAAAAAAGTGACAGAGAGGCAGGGGGGGTAAAGGGGAAAGGAGGAGGGAAAAAAACAAAAAGGTTGGTATAAAGACAAAAACAAACCAAATCAAAGTCGGTGGCATCGTTAGTAGCAGTGAAAAAGTTTAAAAGAGTGCTTATCCCAGAAGCAGAAAACAGGAAAAGACAAGCAATGTGTAGCAACTGACGTTTCAAAATAAAGCAGAACGCTATAACGGCACAGTAACTGTGTGGAAAAAGAAAGCAAAGCCTCCCTAAAGTCAGGAAAAAAATGGAAAAACCTACAGGAAGAGCTCCCTGGTTTGAAGCCACAATCAGAAGCAACAATAAAACACTTCTGGGTTCACTTTGGTGACCTCTGACCTCTTGGAGCTGTGACGTTGGGTATGAGTTGAGTTTCAGCCTTTGATTACATCGGAGTAAACGAGTTGAACAAAAAATAAAATAAGGAACAGACCAACTCGTTCCAACTGGTCCTGGTTCGCTAGAACATCGGATAAGGTTTTGGACTCGTTTCAAAGGAATTACTGAGCCCAGTTTAAAAATCAGGTTTAGAAATGTTCAGCAAAACAATTTATAATAAGGTTTACTTATCGGGCCTCCGATTTGAGTACACCCAAAGTGATGGGATCATTTTTTTTATTAAATTTTTTTGGTTGTAACATGTAACGCATTCATTCTAATTTGTTTGATTTAAGTCTCGAGGTTTTGCTATTTTGTTATTCATTTAAGAATCCAATGCAGAAAGAAAGAAAGAAAGTTTTCCACAGCTTGTTAATTTCATGTTTTGTATTGAGAAAATTTCTCTTAATGAGTTGCTTTATAAAAGATTAGTACAACTTTTTTTTTGCAGGACCACTAGGCATAATAATAGGTAAGTTTTATTTTTTTTTATTATGTACAATGTTACGATGTAAGGAGCTCAAACTATTTGTAAAAAAAGAAAACACTTGCTTTTTTCCCTAAAGACTCAGTTGGCAAAGTTTGTATTTAACAGGTAAAACTGTGGGGGGAAAATTGGATAGCGACAGACGGAACCTTCTTGAGTCTGAAATCCTCATGCTGAACAAATACAAAAATACAAATCTGAGAACGTAGATATGGATTAAAAAGGAAAGATTTTAAAAAGAAAAAAAAAAAGCACCCAGCGCTGGGAAAAGAAAACCTTTAAAGCCCGTAATGCCAGCGGAAGCATTTACAGATCGGATTAAAGGAAATGATGATGTGCTGAGAGGCGCTGGGGACAGAGAGCTGACAGAGATGAAGCCGTTTTGGGGCGGAGTGGAGAGGTACGTACAATCCTGATGCCTTTCTAACGCAATTTCAAGCTTCTCCTTGGTCTTCTGCATAATTCGTAGCTGCTCAGCGTAGTCTGGTTTTGGGAAGTGGGGAGATGGATCACACACGCGTACCAATACGCAACCGACACACACACACACACGACAAAAATGAAGGGGCGAAAAGATGGGAGTCCAGAGACAGGCAGGGGAGGGGGGGGGGGGGGGGGGGGGGGGGGATGAACAGTAGGAGAGGGAGAAACAAAAGGGAAAACATGGTTGAGAAATAATGAAAGGTAAAGTTACTAATGATTTTCTTCACTTAGAAAACCATATGGGTTTAAAGGCCTCTTTAAGAGGGTGTAAAGTAACAAAAGCCAATCAGGAAAAAAAGAAAAGGCTATACAGAAGGGGGTAAGGGGGGGGCTGGCGCCAGGGGGCATGGCACAACTTCTTAACATTGAATAAATAAATAAATAAATAAATAAATAAACAGCTATTGGACATCTAAACAAGAACACATTTTTCTAAAATCATTCCAAGACAAAACAGAAATCGACAGCGTTGCATTTACAGGATTGTGGAGACGTTTTAAGTCAAACAGGAGAGGAACTCTCAGGTCTGTTCGGGATATTTTAGAAGTTAAAGACTATTTTGTTTGTGAATAAACACCTTTAGTGTGGCAATTTCTGATGAGCTTCTCCTGCAAAACTGAGTGCAAAACTAATGAATTAACTATAACTAAGAAGAATTATTATTATCGATTACTCGTGTATTTATAGTCAATAAAGTTCCAACAATATCTCTCAGGTAAATGCATGGAGTCTCTGATGAGCTCGGTTGGATTTTTTGGGGTTGGGGCGGCTTCCAGAGAACTGCAGGCTCAGTTTGGTGTGTCCTACCCGACAGTTTGGCCTCCAGCTTGCGGATCTGATAGTTTCTCCTGAGGAGCTGGGCGGGCAGATCATCCCTGGAGCTGCTGCCATCAGAAGCCTACGCTCTCGCACACACACACACACACACACACACACACACACACAGACACACACACACAGACACACACACAAAGACACACACACACAAAGCAACATACCCGTATCAGGTAGGAAAGTCATAAAACCTTTTTTTTTTAAAAACTACACTAGCCAAAGAAATATGGTTTCTGGAATTGTATTTGTTCAGATTTTTCTAAATAATAAATGGATTAAAGAAAAAAAAACGAGATGCCGGCAGTCAGTGTCATGCTAACAAGTAGGATTAAGGTTTCACAGCACCTAAAACAGCACTGCATGTTAGCCCACAAGGCTCCCTCTCACTAAATTATTTAACCAGGTAAACAATGAGATGACGCGTGTCCCCAGAAGTCTGGTCTTCCCCACACAGGGATGAAGCCACCATGTTTGCTCAAGTGAAAGGAGCTTTAGCTAATCTATGCGGAAAAGACAGAACCCTTAAAGGAATGCGTTTGACCGTTCAGGCTGGGCGTTAAAAGAAATGCTAACGTTCATTTAGTGCCGAGGAGACCAACCTACTGAGACATTTACAGCTTCAGAGTTGTCTCAGGCACACCCATGTCCTGCTAACTGGACCTGTCTGACTGGTGGCTTTCCAAAACCAGTCCCAGTTCCTGACTGAGCCCTGAGCCCCGGGTGAAAGACGTTTTTTTGTGGCCTTCCAAAACTATAACATGATAAAAATGCTATCAACATTTTTTTATTACCAATAATAAATGACTAAACTTAAATGACATCAACTGTGACCATGGAATATTTCCACTGGGCAATGACAGGTGAAGCATTTGTTTGTTACCACTGAAACTGTCATTTGTAAAGACTTTCAAAGTTAGTGTACATAATTCGCTGGTTGCTTTCTGTCTTTTTGGTGAGCATCACCAGAGGCGGTGGCCAGGGATTGCATCTGTTGGAATTCAGCCAGATGTGGCACAGCGCCATACACAGCTGGACCAAAGCCACTAGAATCATTAGGAGAATGAATATAAAAAAATATCCAACATTCAAACTGCTCCTCTAACTATTACGACCTCTATCTGATGTTTAAACTCTGGTTCGGAACACATTACGCATGTTAGGTTCACTGCACCGTGCAGTTTATTAGTACGATAGGTTATTTATGACGAGTTATGAATACTTTCCTGCTCTTATTGCTATTTGGATATAGACTTCCTTGCCTTGGTGCTGCTGCACTGTAATTTCCGAGCTTGGGATCGATAAAGCAAGTCTATCTATTAATCTAATAGAATGCCACTTTGCATGTGGGAACCTGGAAAACACACAAAGCATCTACAGGCATTTCATTACTGGACATCCTCACGCATCTGAGGAAGCATTAAATACAAGGCGTGGACTTTGCACAATCTGGGAAAATAGCTGGGTTCAAAGGGCAAAAAAAAAAAGAAGAATCTTTGCACAGCATAACAAAACAAATCCAAGTCGTTGGGGGAATTTCAGTTTCAACTCATGGTTGAGATGGAAAAATACTGTTTTTGAGCAAAGTATGTTAAAGTAAGGGGCATTTGTGTTAACTGGGGGAGGCTGTCATATTAACTTTAGTGCAAAACATCAACTATTAGTTACAGATGACACTCAAAACATACACCTACAATCACACTGTTTCTCCAATGTGGAGTAAATGAACAGGTTTAATGAATTCATTGATCATATATTTGCCAAAGGCTCGATACTTTTTTTATTTTCTATTAGTTTCTGTATGATGACATTGGTTATTGCATTTATTTTCCGAAAATCATTATGGTGCATAAACTAAAGACATATAATATAGTTAGTTGAAGACTGGAAATAAGTTCTGTGCACTTACAAAGTCATCCCCCGAGTCTGCCCCCAGTGAGGTGATGGATTCTTTGCTTATGGTCCGAGGGATGCGCACAGCCGTCCGGGGCGCCGTGGCCGCCTCCTCGGCAATCTTTTTCTTCAACTTGGCAAACATACCGACCTCCCCCTTCAACGTCTCTTTCTGAGGACAATTTGCAATTTCTGAAAAAGTCCTTTCTCCTCCCCCTGGTGCATGGATTTCACAGCTGCCCAGTCTGCTGGCCAGAGCAAAGGAGCCTTCTTACGCAGTATCGCTGAGAAGAGGGATGCTCCGCTGCTTCCATTTGGCTGCATGTGTAAGAAGAAAAACAACATGATTTGAATTTAATATCTCAAAATCAGTGCACGGCTGTCTAAAATACTTTGCAATCCAAATCATGGTTACAAATTCAAATGAGTTGGTTGATCTATACGAGTTGTTTCCAAAAGATCTATTAATATTGTGCTTACTCCTGGCAGATGAGAGTCGTCTGAATGTTGAGGTGGTTGATCTATACAAATTGTTTCCAAAAAATGTTTTAACATTGTTCTTACTCCAAGCAGAGGAGAGTCATCTGAATGCTTCTATTGTAGCAAAAAACTGCACCAGCCCTTTAAATGTTTGAGTCGTTGTAAAACACATGTTTATTGTAAAATGCAGACATTCTATGACTTTCTTTTCTCCCAAAAATTCTACAGCCAAACTAAAATGCGTTTTTTTAATGAAAAAATACACCTTAGAGTTTGTAAGCACATTTGAGTCCATGGCTGGGATCCAGTTTATCCTGACATATTGAAAGTGCTGGTGTTCTAGCTAGCCACCCTGCTGAAACACAACTTCATTGTGCCTCACGAGTGTTTATCCAGTTATAAGGTCAATTTATAAAGTCCAAAAATGTCTTGACAGCTAGCTAGCTTCACAAGTCAAAATAGAAGTAACGTTTCCAAAACCGGCTGATGCTAGCTGTTGCTAGCCTGTCCATTGATGTCGCTTCCTTCTTACCATTTCATTTTCGATTAAACATCCATCCGTGATGTTTTCAATTGCTCTAATACTTCTGTCTTTCTAAACTTGTACACAAAATATAGATGTTACACTCAATTAACAATAAAGAACTTGCTCGAACTGTCTCGTATGACAAGCTAGCCGCTGCTAGTTGGAGAGCTACACGTAATCACCCCAAACAGATGAGTCAATACGTCACGGAGGCGGGGCCTCCGTTGATTGGATGGAAGAAGGGAGAGGCGTGGAAATGAAGAGTGGAACATACTCCCTCTATAGGCAGAAAACGGAACAACAGCAACAGAATCTTTAAAAGTCTTGCCTATTTTGTTTTTTTATCAACACAAACCTATTGTTTTAACTAATATTTTGGGGCAACCTGTAAGCAGTGGCTCCATCCATATATTAGATGTGTAATGAATTTAAGAGCTTCATACAAAAACACAAAATGACTATTTCAAACCCAGAAAAGTATATTACTTTTTATCAATACACGTCTTTTTAAAAGCTGGATTAGGCTCCAGCATGAGCATGAGCCAGTAAAGAATAAGCAGTAAGGACAATTTCTGGATGAATAATGTATTTTCAGTGTGGGGCCAACATTAAATTCTAGGCTTGTTTATATTCTCAAAATATGAGTTTAAATTTGGATGTAAATAAAGACTTGTTTCTATTGATATGTAATTTAGAACATTCAATAACCATCAAACCTCTGTAAAAAGCAACTGCTATATTCCAAACATAAATTAAGGTTGAAATAATTGTGTCCTGTCTCTCTAAATAGTAGCTGGTATAGACTCCAGCACCCCAGACCACCAACAGGTCAAGGATGGATGGAAGATTAAAACTAAATACACTGTTTTTTTTGTGTTTGTGAGCTAAATTTGTCAACTTTTTTCAGATCAAAAACCTGTACTCATGTACCAATCCCCTTTTAATTTTTTTTATTAACAAACAACACAAAAAAAACTCAAAAGACCTGATCCTAAACCTAGAAATGACATCCTTTAAGGTACCAGAGTAATGGCAACTGAAGTGTCAAACATGAAGTCTGTAAATGTTTACACCATAAACTCTGTTGTATACATGTTTATTTATAAGATATGACATAGGAACTGAAATGTCACAATAGAGAGTTCTTACTTTTGTGCAAGTGCTTTTATCTTACATCGACCTTCACATGTAACCATGGGGGGTGGGGGAAGAAAAAACAAAACAAGAACTATATAACAAAGCACATCCAGTTTTCTTAGCAGTGACTTTTTACTGCAACATGGGACGGGCATTAATAAATACGAACATCTTTTAATGGCCGACGGTTTTTAATACTTCAATTACAAACAGCAATGTTACTTTGCTGTGACGTTAGCTACGAGATGATGGAATTTAATGCAAAGGGCATAAATAACGATCAACAGTTGGCACCATTGTATGCACAGGAAATCCTCTGACTGTAATTTACAAAATTTATATGGGATGACAAGTGCTGTGCCTGTGCACGGGTCAGTATCTACGCACTGACCGAGAAGACTGAGCTTCTTTGGGTTTTTTTTATTTTTTATGGGCTTACAGGAAATAAGGTGTTGTCGTTCGGGGTGGGATGACCCTCTCTGAGTCTGGCACTGCTCTGAAGAGCTTTGGCTCCCTTGTGTTAGCGTCCTTGAAGACCATGATGGATGCGATGTTGCCACAGCGGTAGCAGTAGTTGGGGGCCGACCACACCGTGACCAGCTTCTCGTCGAACATGAACTTGTAGCCCTCGTGCACCAGCTGGTGCGCCCGGCAGATCAGCTTCAGGTTGTTGATGTGAACGAACTGCGGGGGGGAGAAAGCGGGGGGAAGAATTACAGGTATGAGAATCAGAGCTAAACAGAAATATGTTGCTAGATTCTCACAGAATCAGAAATACTTTAATAATCCCAGAGGGAAATAATTTTTGTTACTAGCTCCATAAATAAAACAACAGCATATACATGTCTATACATATATATATATACAACATTTTCAGAAAATAACCTTCAGGGTCCTTGGATGAAAGTACTACATTTACAGAACATCAGAGGACTTACATCATCAATTTCCAAAACAGAAAACTCATTGTTAATGGATTCTGACGCATATTAAGATAGATAGATAGATAGATAGATAGATAGATAGATAGATAGATAGA